TTCTTCCATGTGCTTGATATGTTGTGTCCAGACGTCCAATGGCGAAGGGAGAAGCTCTTTCTTGATGCCAAATATGCAATGTAGACCCGATTCATTTCAAAAGGTAATCTGATGAGATCTTGGCTCACAGTGTCTGATGCTTGCGCTTATCGTTTTCTATGTTTCCGAGCCAAAAGAATTGAGTAGACACTTTGAATCTCCGTGTTATTGAAAGTTCTTACGACTTCTGATTCTCTTAACTTGCTCATTTGCTTGCGTTGTATATGTAATAGAGCAACACACCCACATACATGTCAGCAAACACACATTGGCTCAAGTGGCTCAAGGGGTCGTCAATACCGTTTTTGAGTGATTTTGTTTACACAATCATGTTTTCCACCTCCTTTTCCCCAAACAGTGCGTTCACACTTGAAGCTCATACAGGAACAGCAAGGCGATGTCTTCTAGATCGAGGTAGTGCGTCGTCACAGGCTTGTTTTCGTGGTAGTTACGGTGTCATCGTGCTCTCTAACTTTCGTGTTCATCAACAGTCTCACAAAAAGCGGGTGTCGCGGCCAGTCGCGCATTCAGATTTCGTTGTAATTTCTGCGAAATGGTAACCGTAAACTGCCGTTTGCGGTAATTGTCCAGTCTCACAAAAACGCTGGTGTATACGGACTCTGTGAATTCACCTTGTAGTGGAAATTGAGTTGCAGGAAGTGCGGGGCAGGCTTCTCAAAGGACAATTGGTCCACGGGACGCGCGTACGGATAGTGGTAGGGTAGGGCCTACGTGAGGTGTACCGATCCGATGTAAGCGTACGGATAGGGGTAGGGCCGAGTAGGGGTTATGGTAAAGGCGTACAGATAGGATATGCTGGGGTCCGATTAGACCCCACTCAAGGTCGACTTCTGAAAAAAAGAAGAACTTCTCTACATACTTTTACTCAACAGTGGCCTTCAACGTCTCGTCGATCGCCTTGTTCCGCTCGCGCCACCTAGGGCTTCTGGCAGAATGAAATTTTAGTTGTCATCCTGTGACAAAGCAACAAAATTGTTCAATGCTGCCTAACATCCTTCCCGTCCCCGTTTGTCAACTGCATTCTGTGAATTCCACATCCATTCCTGTTTAGTGGATATTGCAGTCATGGTCATGGTGGCCAAACCACCACCTTGACGATCTGAAACAGAACTGGCCACATCTAGACCATCAAAATGTAGATGTGGCAACCGTGGCCCGGTTTCCTGTGTGGAAAGCCATCCGGAACGAACTGGAACAACAACGAAAATGAACGACAAGTCATCCTTCCCAACTTGTCCACCAGCAATACCACCGCAAAAGTATCGTCCGGACTCATGTCTATCAAACTCCCTCAATAACCTCTCTCTCTTGAATCATTTCCCTAAACCGTCCACAGCTGCTCAATATCAAGCTGAACACTGTGCAAACCTGATACATAAATGTTGGGGTCCTTGTGCCCAAACCCTGCCCGAAGCGCCAAGGCCGACTGCCACCGTCGCTCTACACCTCCTCGTCTCTCTGAGGCCATTGCTCCTTCCCGGCGAAGGTGCCATTCTTCACCGCTTCAAAGGTCACCATGAACTGGTCGGGTTTGGTCACCGAGCGCCGCGTTCGGTTGAGGTCTCTACCGAAAGGACGGCCAGCTGCTGTGCGAAACACGAAAACACCTTGTCCGTTCAACACCCAGCAATGCAAACAACCGAACAGTTGTCTGTGTGAGCAACTTGGCGGTTCGTCCGTCACATGGCGCTAATCTCTGTTGGCGCCACCAAATAACGGAAATGCACCATCCCAGTCCCAGTTAGGCCTTCTCGAAGGCCTCCTGCTCCTTCAAGGTCGCGGCCTTTTCGCGGGCCAGCTCTTCCTCTCGGTCCTGTGCTGGAACACCCAGCTGCTTGGGCTTGAGAAGCGCTGCGTAGACAGAATTAAAGAACACCCCTCAGGGCGTCGATTTTCAAGAAGCTACATCACGTGCTGCCTTTTCAGACTTGACCCGATTGAACAAAGTGATAGACAGTTTGTCAAAGTCATGTCCAAGTTGGCACTACACCCCTTGCATATACTGCTGTTTACACCTGCGTGAAGTCAGCATGATCCATGGCAACCCCTCGGCCGCTTCGAGTTCACGTGGCCTGTGCGCCCTTCAGGGCTTCAGAAGCTTGAGTGGTCTCGGCCTGGCACCGAAACGAACCAAGCGAAGTAAACTAAGAAAAGAACCTACTAGCTTCTTGTTACTAGTAGTAATGGCCTCCAACCTAATAGCGATGGCCTCCACCTAATAGCCTCTTGTTTCCCAGTAATGGGGATGTGAGGTATTGACCTATTAGTGGGTCCCTGAAACACCCACTTAGCCAGGTTGCAGGTGAATCACCCTGAACTTAGGGGTGAGGGGTCCGCATTCACGTTGAAGGGCTTGCTCTTCGAGTGTGGCATTTAAAGAGACAAGATCGAATGCCAAATCTCTTCCCGCCTCCAAAGCGGTTTGCGTCTGGGCCTGCCAGTGAGGAGCCAGCAGAGCCAGTCCGACCACCATTCCATTATGAAGACATAGCCATGAAGCTCCACATGTTGATCATCACCTGATAATCACCTCTTCAAATATTTTTGGGTGTTCCCCGTGTGTCAGTGCACACCCCTGTGCATTTTGGATCTCCGGATCAGGGCGGATCAGGGCCTTCGATTCGAACTCCGTCCGGGACTGCTCGGCCTCAGTTTGCTGAGAAGACGATTCAGTCTACTCTACGACGGTGTCTATACTTGAAAAGGATGAGGCCAAATCAAATCATCACCAAAGGGCCACCTCATATTTGACCACACGGAGTGGGACGGAGTGGCATAGGAGAAGCCCCTCTTGGTTTCACAAATGAGTTCACACCATTTGGCTGTTGAGGGGCTGCTAAGTTTCTAAGATTCGCCACAATTTGGCAGGATGCAACTCTCCAAAAAACCGACGATGAGAGTAAAATGGAAAACCCAGTTGAACCACCCCCATGCTGCCCCCGCACCCCTCTTGAGTGTCCTGCGTGTTCAGTAGCCTCCTTCAAGCGCAAATCCTGTTGCTCCTGGCGCATGATCGCACGCATGGTCGCACCGGAGGAAACCTTGAAGTTAAGGAGGCATAATGAAGGTCTCTCTTTCACCTCATTTCGCTTCCCTTGCTTCGTTGTCTCCTGCTTAGCCGTCAAATCTGCCAAGCTGTTCTCAGCCTCCGTGACTGAGCCCTCGTGCTTCGCCTGCAATGAGTGAGCTGTGAACACCGGAGCAAAGCATGGACCCCACAACCCACCTGTTGGGTTTTCTATGCCATTCTGCCATGTATGGCGCAGTGAAAGGAGCTCCGAAAGCGACAGAATGACTTCAGGGCAGTGGGTGGTCAACTCCGCTGCGTCCATGCTGAACAAGCTGAGTGTGATTCTTCTACTATGTTGGCAGTGAACTCCGCACACACAATAGAATTCCCTCCATGGCGAACTCATTGTAGAAACCGTCTTCCCCATTGTAATTAGTCGAACACAGCGGAGTGGACCTTATTATGGTATGACAGCGAAGTTGCATCTAATCGAACCTATTAAAGCCTCAAGCAAGTTGAGTCATTGTACAATCAATAGGTGCGTCTTCTTGATGGTCAATTACAACACTTCATACTAGTAACAAGCGCATCGCTACTAGTAACAAGTGCATTACTACCAGCAACAAGAAGCTAGAAGTAACAAGATCAGACCTTCTCCCACCTTAAAATGGGGCAATCCATCGTCCAGCTGGTCTTCACTCTGTGTATCTCCTACCCTGCAAAGACCCTTTCACTCTCTTTGCATTGTGGTGCTCTCCCCTCCCTCCCCCTCGAGGCGTCGAGCCTGAATGCCCTTCAGCGTCGTTTCGATCGAGTCCACCATGGACTGCTGAAACGCGTGACGGGCCTCCTCGCATCGATCGCGCATCGAACGCGGTCCCTTGCTGCGTGGATCACAGGCGTCCCCACCATTCCCCAACAAAAAGGAAACAAATCGACGAATACACCCATTGAATCCAATAGGACAAATTTCACTCTGACCATATTCGACCCAACTCAACTCCACCATCCTTCCAAAGGTAGCTACTCGGCTTCTACGGTTGGTCTCCTGGGCGGCTTTGAGGCAAAAAGGCGCCACCGAGCGCAACATCTCGATGGATGACTCAGTCAACTCCGCCTGTGCGATGCAAGACGAACGCCCCCAGCGGTCGGTCAACGGGCCGGTCGTGGACGAGGAAACGGCGTGACAACTCTGTTGTGGGGACATCCGTGTTGGCCACACGTGAAAACTCCATGCTGGATGTCCATCAGTACCCACCAGCAGAATGTGTGTTTTTGGAACAAAGCCCTGCCCTGCGGCCCTGCCGTGCGCAGAAACCCGCGTTTCTTTCGGCGCTTTCTTCCTCGCGTGGTGGCCTTCTCCAAATGCTGCAGCATGGGGGTCAACTCCTGCGAGTTCGGTCGATTTCGACCGAAAAAGGAGGTCTCCAAGCTCCGAACATCGCTGACAGGTCGGGAGAGGATGAGCCAACAGGGGTAAGGATTTCCAAGGCCATTGACTGATCCAGACCGGTCATGTCATCTTTGTTTTGAGACATGGCAGAAGTGGGACATGACTGATCGGGTTCCATCTACCCATTTCTACCTCTCTATTGAGTTTTGCAACCAATCATGTTGGACCACATATACAGAAACATAACACAACAAACAGCCTATCAACTCAACCTACCAGGACCTACCACAAACCTACACCCACAGACAGATTGGCGGGAAAAACCTCGCACCACCGCCTCGCTCAGACCACCTTGCCTGGACGAAAGGGTCCACCGGCTTCTCTTCCACCTTGGCGACCTTGGCCTGGTGACCAATGGCGACCCGGTGTTGAGCACAACTCATCCATCTCCCTGAGAATGTGTTGCTAAGCTGTTAATCCAGAAAAAAAACTCAGTGACCATGCGTGAGGAACCCTCAGCCCGCCTGCTGCGCTGCGGCGGACTGTGCTGCACGTTTGCCCTGGGAGCTAAAGCAGGCGAGGATTGGTGGATTTTTGTGGTGGCTGGGGCACACCAACAGATGTATGGAATCTCTAGGTATATAGACTTGGAAAGCGGCAATTTTGTCCAAGGAAGACCTCCTGCTTTAAGAGATTGTTTCAGCTCCTGAAACAGGTCCGCCTTCGATTCTTGTTGTTTCGTGTGGCTTATGGGGTGATTTCAGATGGATGGCAAACAAACAACCAAAACAGGCATAGAGCTTTGCACTTGTTCAGTGAGTCCCCAAGCAGTGTTTCTGAGGCTGATCTTTCGCAAAGCCCACCCGCAGACCACAAATAAGATCCATCAGCTCAGAAATTTGGTGAGGAAGAAGACCCGAGGATTGGTGATCTCGAGAGGGTTGGACATCTTCACCTGAGCTGAACAGATTTTTGACCCACAACTCAGTCACGAGTTATACTTTCTGCAAGTGGCAGTCACAGTGTTTCAACCGAGCATATTTGGGTATGCGCAACAGCTTGCCAGGGGGTCTGTTGCTGGCACCGGTAGGTGGAACAAGTAGATTGTATCCACGCGCAATCAAGGGAGTATACGTCACGGCTGGTATGCAAGCATCGTAAGAATTGCAAGCATCCATAGGCTGTCACGTGGTCAATGTTGCTTCTGTACAGTACATGTCGAACTTGTGCCACTCCTCATTCAGCAGAGTAGTATGGGGAAGCATTTTCCTTCCTCTGCACTTAGGCTACTTTCAAAGGTCCTTCAACTGCTCCTGCTACATTGCGCCAATGCTTTGTCGGAAGGTCGCGGGACCAACTAAACCCACTCAAACAACATCTGGGAAAATAGACCACTGGTGGACCTTTGTGGGCAGGTTCGGCTCATACCCGCCCAGCAAGAAAGCTACATTACGGCCACACTAAGGCCTCGAACCTGAAGCATGCCAGTCTCTGAGCATCTCTCAACATGGCGCTACATGATAAGCATTATCCGACCTTAAAGTGAAGCTATATAATTAGGTTGAGGCTTATTGCAAAGCACCAAGCAAGTCTGGTGTTTCGGAGGCCACAGCCTAGCTTCCAAAGAGTTCAAGAAAAGATTATCGTGAACTGACCCATATATAGACAACTGCGCAATGGACTTCCCGGGGCCTCATGCACAGCCATCCATTAGAATATCTGTCAAAGACCCTATTGGCCACAAGACATGGCCACAATGCGACAGGCCTGTCCACGCACCAGCACTGATGGGTTCAAGTCTCGAGCAAGCACACCACCCAAGCCACCTGTCAAGATGCCATCTTGGGCCCGGCACGTGAATAGACCCAGTGGAACTCATAGGTGTATCCCACTTTCACATTCTTGCAGTGTTTGAACTCATATGGATCCAAAGTAGCAGGTGGTGCAGGTTCGGCTTCAACGCGATCGCAGAAATAGCCAGGACGAATGTCATCCGGAATGATATTCTCGGGCTTCCTCATAGCCTCTTCCACGGCAAGAGAGTAGCCGCCAGCTTCCACGTTCACATGTTCTGCGCCCAAGTGGAAGTGCGTGTTCAGGTGGATAAGGTTTGGAAACTCATCTCCCAAGCCTTATCAGCAGAAGCTACAACAACAACAACAAAAAATCAAGCAAACAGGGGAACACAGCTGTAGGTTCTAAACACAATATATTGAGTAGAGCCTGCCAAAATGGGAAAAACGCTGCTCATGCATCTTTCACGTTCAGCAAGTGATGGGCTTCACCCGACAAAGCTCCTCACCAACGAAGTCCCGACTAACATTCCGCAGGGACTGTGGCTCTGCATCTTCACAAGGAAAGACTTTCGCCGGTTCTGGCCTTTTGTCATCATCCAAGACCTTCACCCAAGCCCACCAAGGAAGCTCTGTCTCCGCTTTCGTCTTCTCTCCTGGGGAATCCGGCAAGACGTCTCCAAAGCTGGCCGAGACATGTGGTTCCATGTGGCAAAGGTTCTAGGCTGCTTTAGGATGTTGTAGGTGACACGAAAACGTGCCGTATCAATCAAGGGAAGTCTCCTTGCTTCAATTGCATCAGTGCGGAGCCCTCACCTTCCTTGCAGGTCTCCTCTGCCATCTGAGAAATCACCATGCCGACCAAGAACGTTGAGAACGTCAAACGCCACATGATGAGATCAGTGCACAATTCTACGGTCTAACTCTCGAGCCGTGGATGCTAACTGAGTCACAACCTATACTTTCTGCAAGTGGCAGTCACGGCGCTTCAACCGAGCATATTGGGGATGTGAAAAAAGCTTCCCAGGGCGTCTGTTGCTAGCACTTCGGGTGCGGTTGATGGAACTAGTAGATTGCATCCACGTACAATCAAGTGGGAGTATACGTTACAGCTGGTATGTGAATATCCAGAAACCCTTCCCATAGCTAGCGGGTGTTCATCCTTTGCGATAAGCGACCAACAACATCGTTGCAGTTTTCCACATAAGTAAGTGATTTGAACCCTTCTTTTGATTGGAGGCATCTCAGGATGTGAACCATGAAAAAGGCTGTTGAAGATATGCGAATCAGAAGAGCTGGAATCTTTGGGCTTCCGGGCCATGATGTCGGGGAGAGGTGCGCAAGAAAATCTCAGCAAGCTAATCGTTTGAGCCAACCACCCTTCAAGCATGCATCGACCTCCTGCATTGCGCTACCAATCTACTTGCTAGCGAGAACAATTTGACGGTCCTCCATTGGTCAACCTTCTGGCACTCTATCGAACTCTATCGAACCTTCAGGAAGCTTCGTTCTGACCCATGTCCCCCACCATTCGTCGTCCATAGCCGTCCCACCCCACCATCTGCTTCTGCGCGACACGCGGCACTGCCACCGCGTCCTTTTTCGAATCTAATGGTGCCAAAGCAGTGAGCTCAAAGCTTCAATCAGTTGGATATGTGCTCCAATATATACTGTAATCGCTGCAAGTTGCCCCACAGAAACTTGCTCCAGCGAATTGCATGCCGCAATTCCACGGCCACGTGCATGACAAGCCCCTTTTTCTACTCACTTCTTGAGGAGATCATCAATGATAGAGTACCTCAAAGCGATTCAAAGCGTGCATGTTTCAGTGCGTTAAGAGTGCTTCATTGACTGCCCAAAACTCCCAGTTGATTGATGCTGAGCAAGGAAGGTTTCACTTGAAAAAGCACAACTTAATAAATTAAGGTGTCTTGGCGATGAACCCCTCTAGTTGCTGGAAAGCTAGAGACATGAAGAAGTCTGATCTCTCACAAGCGGGTGTCTTCCAGGAGTTGGGTCAAACTCAAGAAATGAAGGCCCCAGACTGACCAATAAGGTGCCATGCAGAATCCTTGAAAGCTCCCAACCTGAGATGGACCGCAACCCAACCATTTCTTGCGGAATTGATCAACCTCGAAAAAGGGCTCACCCCAGAAAGCATCCAACGAAACAAGTTGAAGTGGGGGGTGGCAGCCATGAAACTTTCTTGGGCTTCGGCCTGGGTACTGATCTAACAAGGCTATCTGGAGACCCAAAAAAAGTACTAATACCATGCTTGACAAGGTCATTTGCTGAGAGTATGCATCTCACCTACAAAGTGAGATTCTCTGGTGCCTGTGAATCCTATATAAGTCTAAGTGCCTACAGCGGTTTACGTGGTTTGTTGACGGTTGCCGTGTGGTTCAGGCTTCTCTTTCCCAACATCCTCTGGATGACGCACAAGAAGACGCCGCCGATGCCAATAGCACATCCAGCCAGCCTAGCAAAGGGATGCTGGGATAATACATTGAACTTCGGGTGCAAAGTGGAATGCCCCTGCTGAAATAAACGTAGGTTAGTTAAAGTTAGTTGTTGGGTTTAATCTTTTTCGAGACATGCCCAAGCCGCCAATCCCTTCCTTAAGAACTATCGTCAGCTCCCCATACATATGCCCTGACACGATGGAACCTTGGCACAGGAATCATGGATGAAATCTGTGGCTATCTTCCTGACTAATTTGGTGTGGCTGACCTTTCGTTCCCGCCATATGCTTTTCACACTAACCAGTGCCCTTTACAGAAGGAATGCTGCAAATAGCCTCTATGTATACAAGGTCTCAAGCTGCCCATACAGCACAGAGGGTTGTGCTTGGGTGCATCGCTTGTGGTGTAAGACCTTGTTCATGAACTGTGGCCGGATCACCACATGCTGCAGGATGGGGGTTGATGTTCTGACACAGGGTGGGACTGAGACTCAATCCTCTAACCAGAAAAGGAGACAAACAGCTGTGCAGAACGGGAATGTGATAGATATAGAAGCTTTCCTGCACCTGTCTAGTTCAATACGCTTTGCCAAACCCTCCTCTCTTTCCTCCTCTCTTTTACGTACCTTTGCAGGATATCTCCAGTGGTTCACAGAAAGACTGGCAGGATGTATGTGACAGGCTCTGGGTTCCACCCATCATGCCAAGGAGCTTCAAAGGTGACAGGCTCTCGTGCATGACGATGGCGACTCCCACGATGACAATGACTCGCTTGGCCTTCAGGTTGGCCGACCACGATCGAGGGCTACGGGAGGGTCTGTGAGCGAAGTCAGCGACAGGCGATCGGACGTCTGGTACTTAGATAAAATGGTGAATGGGTCCATTTCCAGTAGAGTCGTAGAGCTATACAAGCTAGATATATGGAGGGTTATGGAAACCCCCCATTCCCTTCTGAGCACGAGCTAGGATTGTAGGTGAAAAGGGACTTGGCTTTGGAGAATCTCGGGGAAGTCCTCATCCATGGTCCCAAACACGCTAGTGGCGTCTACGGATGTCTATGGCGGCGGCACTTCAGGCTGGAAGACGTGCCAGGGCAACAGATTGAAAATGCGGGAAACTGGACTCCTCATGAACCAATCCGACTATTTGTTGGCAAACCCCATAGAAGCCATCACTTGGGAATTGATCCAAGAGTCCTGAGTGGGCAAGTCGGGCGCAGCGGTGCGCCACCAAGGTTGAGTTTTTTCCAACACGTTTCTGAAAAGTATTGCGATTTCTTCTCCTGTGAAATCACACGGATTTATCATGTTGGTGACTCTTCCTTCTCCGTGTCAGTAAGACTCTCTAGGAGTTGGACATGTCCACATCATAACCCAAGATGGAACGTGAAACTGGGGAAAGCAACTATATATCCATAATTTAACACAACGTTGAAGTTTAACAGCAAGACATGCAAGCACATTCAGGCTCCAGCATTGTATACGATGTTGTGCATGTCTTTCTAGTTTTAGTTTAGAGCGGAAACGAGAACTTCTTTTCCCAGGCGGGAGGAGCAAAGGCTGCGGGAACTAAGAAGCCAAGCTCTGTGTGTGTGTGCAACTCCCTCCCAACTTCCCACACCCGCCACCCACTCCTAGAAAGCAAAACCTCTGTGGGTCCAAAATGACACACAGCCCCACACAGGGGAACTGGGTGCCCCTGGCAGTGTTAGCTACGGAGGAGGTCACGGCGTTGGTCTTCTTGATGGTGAAGGTGGCCAACCTGGTCACGGCGGGCGCCGGAGGATCGCCGCTGAAGCCCAGGGCCAATCTGATCGGTTTCTGCTGGCAGCTTCCATTTGGTTGTCCTCGGTGTCTCGCCTCCTGTTGAGGGTGAGGGTGCCAAAGGATCCCTTCGTGGGTGGGGGGGCATCCAGGAGTCTCCAGCCATAGCCATGGATGACTGTGACAACATGTGACAACATGTGACAACATGTGACTTCTGCCCAACCAGAACCGAGGTGTGTTCCAAAAAGATTTGTTGCGTATCAGGGATTTAAACCAACACTATAAGGATTGGTCGCTTTTCCACTCCAGCGGCCCCTATTGCAGTGCTGCGGAGGAGGGTCTCATGAGAACTTCCATCGACTGGCTGTTGGGGAGAGCCACAGGTTGAAACCTCCATTGCCCTCCACAGCCAAGGCCACTCGTTGTAAGCGTAGAACCACAGCCCCGAGGCAAAGAGGTTCATCACTACCTTGGGTAGTGGCCCCGAGGCAACAAAGAGAGTGACCTCCAAGGTCAAGTCTTTTGGGAAAGGCTGCGAATCGTGAATATTTTTAAAAAGAAAAGAGGCAGCCAAAACAATATGTAACAAGGAGTACAGTATCCAAAAATACCTCTGCGGCCGGCCCAAAACTCGAGGCAAATCTCATCGAGGTGGCCACTCTCTCATAAGTTGTGTGTAGAATCACCTTCTGATCGTTGCTTCGACGTTCTGTACCAACGTCAAAGATCTGCTCAGGACCTTGAAAGTCTCTTGGATTGTTAATATATCCTTGATCAAGGCCTGAGTAAGCTCATCTTTGGAACCCCTGCAGGAACTCTTCATGCGGTCTCTTGAGAAGACTTCGGCAGAAGGTGCTTTCAAGAAAGATGTGCAAGAAATATGTTTGGATTTTCTGCAACGTCTTTTGGCAATTACCTGGTTGATCTCGGAACCTCACAAAAAGGCCTTCAGGAGGAAATCTAACAAGAGTGGTTCAAGCGAATTCAATGTTTACAACAAACGTTCCAAGGTTCTCACAAGAATCTGGCAGGAAAGGCTTCGGTCAAGAGTGCTCGAAAGGCCTATGACTAGTTCGGTCAAGCGTGCTCAGCAAACATATTTGTAAGCCCCGATATTTGAGAAGAGTCCCTCAAGGGCTTTACTAGGAGTCCCTGTGCGAGTTCTCAAAAGAGTTCTCTATATTTTTTTAAAAAAAATAGTAATAACAATAAGTAAAAATAATGTGTATATATACAGTATTATTCCGTCCACAATTCTTTCAAGAGAGATTTCCTGTGCAGACTTTTTGTGCAACATTTCCTGGACTTGGGATCGAGTCCAGAGCGAAACTCTCCGCTTCTCTGCCGCCGAATCCAACCCCTTGCGGTCGATCCATGTCAAGAGCATTTTAATAACAATAATGACAATGTATGACAGTGGGAATTGTCTGTTGCACTACCTGCACACCTTCTTGCATCCAAGAAAATGGGTCACGCCCCCCCCAATAAGCATGTTCTGCTGGCCACCTCCTCCCAATAAGCAGGGCCTCCGGACCACCGGAGATTTCGAGGCCACTTTCAAAAAGCTGGAGAAACGACTGCCCTGAGCCAACGTGAACCCTCAATGGCTAAAATGGTTGCAATCATACAGGGCGGATACGAGAAAAAAGCGCTGGTTGTTCTGGGGGGGAATCATAGGGATGGGGATGATGTTTGGACTGAACATACCCAAAAGCTTGAAGCAAGGGCTCATAGTTCTCCTACTTTGACAAACAATCAGAGTCTTAACGCCATTCAGAACAGAGTCACTGGTCTACAGTAGATATATTATATAAATTTAAACACAACAGAAGATCCTCAGGACTGGTGCTGACGGTGTCGGTGCAGGCCAGTCAGTTCAAAACAAACCACCAAGAAACGCAGAACAACCTCAACTTGGAGCATGTTCCAAAGCTTCACCTATCCGTGTGTAGGGCTTTCCGGCTCAATTCCAATTTCAGGTTCAGGGAAGAGGTAAATCAGCAATAAGAAAAAGAACTTGGAGGCGTGGGTAACGTGACTCCAAAGACTGCAAATCGCTGAATTGTCGGCGTCACATCGAGGGCGGAGGGCATGGACATAACCCTCTGATTGTAACACAGTTACCAACCAAATGAGTTGCGAACGCTGTGCAATGTAAACCGAATATATTTACCTATTCATCATGTTTAAAAGTATTGCTGGCCCCACCTCCGTGAGAAGCATAATGATGAGGCAGAAAAAGAAGGAGTTCAGCATTGTGATAGCAAACCTTGGCATCGAGGGTGGCCCCAAAACATCAGCCCCACTTTCAAAGCCTCTCATGCAGCTTGGTTGATGCAGTTTCTTTAAGAAGCGAATCCATTCAAGTTCTGGTTTTGAGTCCTGCTGACATTGCAATCCTAGGACCCTAAGCCCGTTAGTCCTGTAATGTCCAAAAGCCAGCCCCGCCTATTTGGGGCGGAGCAAGGTGTTGACAAATGTGTTTCTTGATACAACTAGCTAAGTAGTGTGGACACGTGACACAGCACCCCGATATTTCTCGGGCTTTTACACTACGAACCCACATATACGTACATACATACCTCTAATAAAGTAGGTATGTATGTTCCCCCCTGGGGTTCTTACTCTACTTTTACGATCCGTGCAACCTGCGAGGCTCACCTGGGAGGCCCAAAATTCGCGCTGAGTCCCCGGCTGGTTCCCCACACCGCCCATCCGGTCCTGGCCCAAACCGTCGATCGCGTGGCGCCATGGAACCCCCAGACTCGTCGAACGAACGAAGTCATAAGGAGTCATCTGGACCTGCAGGTTCTCCAAAGGCAGCACGAATTGAAACCAAACATCGTCAAACATCAAACTAAGACCCATCCTGCCATGTTTTTTGCCATGGTTTGGGAATTGGAACCTGCTGGAACCTGTGCAGCAGGAAAACTTCTGCACGTCCCTCGTGTTTCACCGACCAAACCCGTGGTCCACGAGATGCTTCTTGACCAGTCACTTGAAGGTTGACCCAGATTAAGCCTGTCTCGGCTCTAAGCTGAAACGTAGGACCATGAGTTATGGGTCAAAGATCTGTCGCCAAGATTGCCTCATACGAGAAGACGAACACATCTAGAGGACCCGCTGATATCTAGAAGGTGATATCGGATATCCTCTTGGAGGTGAAGAGGAACAGGGAAGTTATAGTTTCAATCCCTTTGCAAACGGAGACATAAATGCAAACCTAAAGCAGCAAAGCATCCCACCGTCATTCTGCCCTCACCATGACCGATGCTGTCGACCTTGAGTCCTTCGGTCTGCATCAGCTTCTTGTTCTCATTACCCTGAGGCGAATGAGCACGGAACAAGGGTTGCCGGTGAAGGGTTCGTTCTGGGGGCAACCTGCCTAGCGGAAGAAGGGCTCTATTTATTGCACAAAGCAATGGTCAAGTCCCACAGGTCTTCCTGAGCACCGACAATGCGCATTTTCCTGATACCGTCTGCTGAGACTCCCACAAGCCAGGCCAATGCTCCAACAGCAGGAAGAGTAGTCCGCACTAGTGGCCAATCGCAAATATGGTTAAGTCAAAAAAATCAAGACTCAAGTTGTTAAGACCTAGGTGTGTGTATAAATAGTATATATGTCTCTATGTGTGTGTGTATGTATATATACACGATACATACATACATAGCGTGCTGTGTTGTGTTCAGTGTGTGCTCTTGTGTTCTCGTTGTGGTGATACCTCTCCTCTTGCTCCGACGAACCAACACGCCGGTACCCCTGAATGAGAAAAAAGGCCGTTTTATGGGGAAGGTGTCGGACTCGGGGTCGTTGGGTGACGTCGAACCCCAACGTCCCACGGGTTTGACCGTTCACCACCGTTCCGACGCGTTCCGCGCCGTTCCGCCCCGGAAACTCCGCCTTAATGGCGGCGAAGACATTGGCCATGGCGGCCGTGATGAGGGCGGCCCAGGCGAAGTTCATTTCACCCAACGAGGCCAACACCTGTGGCGAGGCCAATTGGCGCCGTTCAGCCGTTCGCGGGTTGCACCCGAGGGGCCGGTCGAAGGGCAGTGTCTCCCAAAAGATGCCAAAATGGAGACAGAAACCTTAAGGCAATGTGCATTGAAAGTTGCAATATCTCCTATTCTGAGCATATTGTTCCGAGCAGGATATCTTTCCAGCTCCTCAATTGTGAGCTCTCCCACGCAACTCATGCTCTTAATAACTGACAGGTCTCCTTCCCAAACGCTTTCTTCCGATTTAGAAACAACAAACATTTCACACCTGCCGAAGATGATCTGCTTTTTTCAAGAGAACACTTGGCCGCCCTGCTACGCCGCCAATCACTGGGATCAGGCAAAGCCACTTGCCTGTGCTGACCTTCCTGGCAGCCGGGAATCCTTTGGAAGAGTAACAGCAGCACACCAGGTGTATAAAGTCTAAATCTATTATTCCAGTACAATTTCTTGGGGGTCCTCATGTCTATCCTCCCAAGTATATACAGTGAACTCATATACTTTTCAAGCATGTGGTTCCTGAGCATCTCACTACAGTATGCAAACACATGACCCAAAAGCCTTACTTGTCGAAGCCTTAAACCGCGTCATCATGGTGCGATCACTAAAGATGAACCCACAAACCCATGTGCAAGAAACAAACGGGTCCAGAAACCCTCGCCAAAGTTTTGCAAAAATCAAATTGATGAGAAAGGCTTCCGCAAAAGCCTAACAAGTTGGAGGCCATCGCTATTGGGTTGGAGGACATGTCTATTAGGTAGTGGCTTTCGCAAACATGTCCATTCTAATCTCCGCATATATATCTCCCAGCAGATCCCCAAAGGACCAAGGTCTACGCTTGTGTCCAAGGTCTAGGCTTGGCAGTATACACTCAGCAATCCAAGAGCCACGCACACCACAGCTTTCATGGTTAAGTAGATTGAGTGAAAGGAAATGACCGAAATTCACCGTGAACCACAGCCCTTCAAACCGTAAAACATACGAAATTTCAAGACCTTTTGTCTTACTTCGGTTTGCTTCCATTCTTTCGGGCAAGCTTGGTGACCCCACTGGTTGTAGAACAACACACCCAGCAGCGCTGCAAAGGCTGGCTCTGCGGCCTCTCGTGTGGATTCTATGAAGATTGATCGAGTCGATGAAGGTAGATGGGTTGTGTCTCAAAGACTTTGGGGGGGAACATGGGTTGGTTGTCGGCCAGTCATATTGAATTTGACCTCTTGCGCAAAAGTGCTTAAAAGCCCGACAAAATTGAAAAGTGAGGCTTCTTCGTGCGAGAAAAAAATGGAAACATGTGCTTTCTGGATAGTCAATTCGGCTGGTTGCCGCACGCCCCAGGTTGGTCAAGGCTAGCACCCACTGATCCATGGAAACCAGTGTCAACAGCGCTTGGTGCTTGAGTGCTTGAGCAAAAGTTGACCTTCACAAAATAAACAATTCCCTTTGTGAACACCAGGTGCTCATCTCTCACGCTCAAATCTGTGCAAAAATATGACCTACAGGAAAGCCGTCTTTGCAGGAGAATAATGCTGGTGCTTTCTTGTGGTGTGGCACGTGGTGAGCGGGTAGATGACATGCAAAGTTGATTTATTTGGAACTCATTGCAAGTCTACGATTGCAGGGGTCAGATCATGTTGCAGCCCATGTGAAGAGACTTCAACCACATGTGAAGGTTGATTCCTTCTAGCAACACCGTTTAGAGGTCCACTTGATCCAGTGCCATGCCTGAGCGAATCTCAAAAAAGTAGAAAAAGTCGAACCTGTCTCGAAAACTCCAACCAAATTGTCAATTTTCTTGAGCATCTAAAATCGTTTTGAACTATAGGCCAACAGTTGTTGCTTTCCGGAGGCTCAGTCAGGCACATCAGTGTAAGCTCTTGATGGGTCCTGGGGTCCTGAAACTTCAAACTATTCTCAGAAAGTTGGAATGCAAAATTGACTTTTTGACTGTTTGCGAAACGCCCCTTCGTTTTCGCGCTATATAATCATGGGCTCCCGAATTTCTAGCTTAGCCTGATGGAACAGAAAGTATGTGAATTCACTCATTTCTGAAGGTGGTCCCTTTGGTTTGAAGCAAACCTAGATGAGTACCATCTTGTTCAACAACGATTGGCAATAGTGATGTTGTTCGCGCCAAACGTCCTAATGTGGATCCTCTGATCGGGGTCGAAAACTGGAGCACCTTCAAAGATTGCCCGACTGCCCCAAGCTCGCACCAGCAAACCATCTCACACATCTACACGAACCTTCCAACAAGCGATCCAACCAACCAACCTACTCAACCGATCCGGTCCGCCCAACCCAACCCAGTCGCCCCGACCCGACGCCTTCACGATCTGCCCAAAGGACACCGCCCCGGCATTCAGCGCAAAGACCGAGGCGGCATGCGCACCTGCAGAACGGAGGCACAAACGTTCCGGCATTTCAGCTGCCACCAACGTTCTGCCCACGTTTGGAGCGAGGTTCGGGAAATGCCTGAGGGCAAGCCACTGTAAGAGGTGCTAAGTTCTAGAAAAACAGCCTTCTGCAAAAGAGCCTGTTTCTGACATAACACCGAGTTTGATCATGTCCCTGTGCAGTTTCCAGGGTCAGGCACCAAACACTAAAAAGCAGGCACCAAACACTAAAAAGGTTCGCACGAGCCTGCTGAGGTTGCGCCGACTGCTAAAGTCTTCTTGTAGTCCCTGCCACGATGGCAGCAGGGAATAAAGCACCCGGTAGCGCAAAAACTTGTGGCTACACTCAATGAAAAAACAATACCGATAAATCCTTGCGACAGCTGAGTGAAACGAAACCAATGAGGGGATGATGGGAGGGTATTCCCCAAGACCAGGATGCTGTCACGTGGGGAGATGCAGCACTCTGCTACATTTGATGTCCTTTTTGTAGAGGTTGCAGGCCTTCCTTTGGTGGCAAATATTCCAGGACGTGTCGGGGACTGGACGAAGCAGCATAACAACACGGGCAATCTGTCCGGACCTGGTAAACCTTCTTTGCAAGGCATTCAGTCAACAAATCGGCGCACACCTGGACCATCCATCAAACCATCAAACCGCATGTTCAATCCATTCTTGTGGGGAATGGAACCTCTTACATCTCAAACGCTCTCATTCAGCACCCTGTCACCCGAAAACGCCCTGAAAGCACCCTGTCACCTAAAAACGGCCGGCGAAAAACGGCCCTTCAGCTGAGACGATGGCGAGAAGGTGAGTTCCGGCAGCTTCCGAGTGTCGGGATAACCCCAAAGGAGAAGCGCCCACAGGCAGCCGACGCCCAACTGACGGTCAGCACGGCGGAGTGAGGACCCAACAAAGGACGAAGGTTGCTAGTAGGAAGGCCAGGAGCCCCTAGTAGCGTCCTTGCTCCTAGTAGCGATGCCAGGAGCCCCTAGTAGCGTTCTTGTTACTCATTTCAGAAGGGTTTGTTCCTTGTTCAACTGCCTGCAGCTTGACAATCTCTGCATCAGGTTCCCCCCAAAGGGCCCGGAGTTGGTCAGATAGCTCAGTCGAGGAAGAATTGTCAAATAGGTCAGTCCAGGTACTAACCTTCCAGGACACCCTCAAATCAACTGCTGGTTCCAACAACTGTGCTCTCGGTTCACGGAAGGATCTGTTGAACCTCTGTGGGGGGTGAAAGGTAGCTACCAAAGGAACGTTAGTCTGTTGAGGATCCATTCAACATGGCATTGAGAAATCTCTGCCTCAACAATTCCTTCCCAAAGGACCAGCAGGTGTTGGTCTCTGGCTTGGTTGCCCGATGAGTGACTTGGAAGGTGTGGATTGCACCATGTGCCATCGCCGTGTTTGAGGTATAGTAGTGGTGGATGGGTCTGGCTGGTAGAATTTGATAGCATATAGTCCCTCTCTCCAGCCGAAAGAAAAACTATCCAAGTCGTTGCCCAGGGTTATCCAATGGCACCCTGCTTTATCTGCACACCAGGCACAACGTAACTCACCCACACCACCTGCGAGATCGCCCCAGGTCCCGTCGGGCTAGTCCCGCCCATTTTCGCCTGCATGGTGGCGATGGTCATGGGGAAGCCGGCCGTCCCCCCAGCCGCTTGCAATGCTCGCCTGGGGACTCATGTGATGGCCGGCACGGGGTAGGAGTCACGGTTTCTGAACCAGTCGTCATGTCAGTCTGGCGATTGAAGAAGTCGTTGCTGCGCAATGAATCTCTTCAGAGTCGCTTCCCACTTCGACGTCGACACACGCCGCGCCCACGCGTTTACTCAGGCGCCCCGACTTGTTGGTAATGTTGTAGTAGTAGTTCCCGAGGTACCAAAGCGCAAAGTAGGCGAAGAGCACGAAATCGAACTTCTTCTCCTGCACAAGAACCGTCTAAACCATTTCCTCTGAGAAGGTCTTTTTGGCGAAGACGTAGGGGGGGACTGTGACGAGGGAGGAAAAGGACGACGGACCTGTAGTAGCTTTTCGGCCGATTCCTGGATCCGACCTGTTTGGGTCGACTCGGCGTACAACCGTGAAAAGGTGGTGTTTTGTGCCTTGTACCAAGCGCATGCTTGGGGGTTCTTCGACTATATGGCTAATGCATTGTTTACTTGATAAAGGCGCCAAGTACAGTGACTGAAAGAGGAGGACACAGAAACATTCGTGTAGCATGCACAGATTTTGGAAGAACGTGCTGCGTCCTTGAAGATTTTGTACCCTGTTCCAGTACCTTGTTTTTTTGATTGGCAAACACAATTTGTTCATCTTCTTTTGATTGGTAGGCCTGGGACAAGCATATAGCCCAAAGAAGAGCACTGAAGAAGAGTAATAAAGGATTACAGTATATAGACAAAACCATTTCTGTGGCCAAGAAACAAATGCACGAGTCGGCACCAATGTGCCAAAAGGATGTCGGATTGGCATGCGAATCGATTCATGGAATGATGCGAAGAATATCAAAGGCTTAAAGCAGCATCACCAGCACCCTTCTCAGTTGGTGTCGGCCATGCCTCAGTGCTCTGCATGTTTCACATCTTCTCTACCCGTTCTCTCTCCACAGTGTGTGGAACAAAAATAGAATCAGGGACTTAGGCGGCCTAACCCCTCAAATGAATCAGTTCAGCTGATATTCTTTGAGCCTTTCAGTTGGGAACCAAGAGCGAGGAAGCTCAGAGCAAGCCTTGGCCCGGTGGTTTCTTCCACTGGAAACGCTCACGGGTTGACGAGTTGGGAGAGCCATGTTTTTGGAAGATGGTGCTGTCCAGTGCTCCTGAACGATGTTTTCCTGAAGATTGTAGCTGAACCCAATTGAAGGGCCCACGAAAATCTAGAGAGACTATGCGCTAAAAGAAGCCCTTGGTGAGCTTTCACACATGGAACTCTTTGGATAGGGCTCCAACAAGGGTCTCTCTGACTTCAACATAGACCCAAACAAAAATCGTCAATATAGTGGTCTTTTGGTTTAAGTTACTTTGCCCGGGAGCAACACTTTGTGTGTATGGGACTGAATGAACAACCTGCTACCCTTCCCTTTCCTTCCCTCCAACCGTACTCGGATACGGATTGCCTCCTTCTCGGTGGATGCAGCCTCGCGGGCCGTCCACCCGGAGGAGCAAATTAGATCATCTTCAAACACATCCTTCAATAGATGCATGCAGGTCGCCTCATTATGTGGGTAGGTCACTTGTTGCACAGGACACTAGTCACTGATTCATTCCGGAAGAGACAACCCCAAGCAAAAACAACGAACTGATGCTGCTCGTCTCAGAAAATAACAAGAGATCATCAGATCGAATGTGTCTGTCGGTCAGTTCCCGCAAAGCAGGGGTGGCCCAAAACTCCAACAAAAAGGCTCGAACATCAAAAACAAATGGTCCGTGGGCGGGGGACTGTCACGACTGGGCCTCGCCCTGGTCGACACCCTGGTCTACCCGGACTTGCTCGGGAGCAGCTGGGTCTTTGGAGGGTCTTTGGACTTGGACTTGGGAAAACAAAGATCAAACATCTGTGGTACCAAGTTGAAACCAAACAGAAAAAATCGTCTTACGCATGACACCGAACCGAAGACTACAGTAGTCACTCGATCTGGTTCACTTTGGGCCAACAAACTGAATAGCCTCCTCAGCCTTCAGCGGCACTCGAGAAGCAGGTCCTCGCACCGTGCCAAGTCACAGTGATCACAGGAAATGTTTGGCAAGAAGTTGTCCAATGTGGAAGGACTGATTCATCAGTGCCGAGAAATGAACAAGCATGCCGGGTCTTTGCACGTAGGGCGGTTCCTGGAACTTCTTGCGACTGATCTGGCATGGTGTGCCGGCATGGAAATGAAGCACAAAGGGCCCTCTTTTTTCAAGTCTCCTGTCTCAAGACCACTGTTTGCCTCTGTGATTCACTGGAACTGAATTCTGCAGTGCAAACACTGGCACAACAAGATATGATATGATCAGATCTAGAATTCTTGTGGCGTTTGCTCAACACGAGCGCAAATCTGTCATCCTTGGTAAAGTCGAAGAGGTCCATAACGAGTACCTGGCCATGGAGTGCGCAAACACATGGGCCTGCCCAGTGTGCCTGAGAAAAAGAAACTGGAAACAACGCCCCTCCCATCACTCTGCAAACATCAGTTACAGCCCTTGACTTTGAGGAATCTGCCTTTTAGGCTTCAGCAAGTTGAGACTAAAAAATAGATCCCGCTTTTGCACTCCATGGCCTTTTCTTTTTTTCTTGGGTATGGCTATTTTACAGCAGTGTGTGGAAAAAATGTTACCCGCAATTATATAATAATAACAACTATGACCAACCTCTTTTCTTGCGCATTGATCGGCACCCATTGCCTGCTAATGGTCTGGTCGACACAGAGCTTGATGGGGCTGAGGGTGCAAGAAACGCACTGGCCTGGAGTGCAAGCAAGTCCAGCTGATGTCTGTGGAGAGCATCTAACCCGTCTGAGAGGGCCGGTTGACTCCAAACACCAATGGTCTGGATAATGTGTATCACCTCTGAAACCCACAAGATTGAGCTCCGGGTGACCTACGGAGGCTACTCTCCTTGACACACCTCAAAGTTCAATTTTGCGAGTGCCCTGTTGGGACCTCAATCAGCTAGGTGCATCACGAGCAATAATCCTCTTGGACTATCTTAAGACCAAACAAAACGGTGCCTGTAGCACAAATAGCAAATAATTGTTGTCGCTGCGGATCTGAACATTCAAGAGCTTTTGAATGCTCTCATGACGGTAGAACCAAATGTTCTGTCTTTTTCAATACACATGAAGAAGTTGGAGATCACATCACAATTCTCAAGGATTCCATCCAAGTGCCTCATGGAGTCTGCCCATGTGTGCCCAAGTCCCATTCCCACTCTGCAACACCAAGATCACCTCTGCAAAGAGCACCACCAAGCAGGTGCCCACACAGGCCAAGCGCAGGGCCCAAGCCTCAGGCGAGGAGAGATCGACTGGGCCCTGAAAAATGCCCCAATGCTAAGAGATCAGGAAACACCACTAAGAGATCGTGGATTTCAGATCTCATGTCCAATGCTAAGAGATCGTGCCAGAACATGACTCTGAAACACCACTTGGAATAAAGTACTAATGGTAGTTAATACAACAATACTCTTGCCACCGCTGGAATGGTCCACAGCCTATGTGGATGTCTCATGTACAGCGGACACTGCCTCTCACCAATCATCACCCATTACCCCATTTGCAACCATGCAAAATTTGGTTGAATTGTGCGCGGTACAGTGTTTGCTTGTGTTCTTGGGTTCACGCTTTGGTAAACTTTTGGGCCTTGTGTCCATAAGGAAAAAAATCCGGGAAGAAGAAATCCGACCCTGAAGAAGGGCGACCTTAACGAGGTCCCCAACCAAACCAGTTGGCCACCCCGCTGATTCGTGCATGGGAGGTCCTGTTTCTACAGTGAAGGCATTCTGATGTTCAAACCCCCTTGCTCCACCAGTAGGCCACCAGCACCCAGCTGCTTAGTGCTTAGTGAAAAACAAATGGAGGTGGTCACTGCGTTCATTTCAATCATACGTGAACATGGTTTCTTGATAGTCACCTGGTCACCTGGTGAAGTTATTGGTGCCTAATTGTATTGTTTTCGGACGTGACATTCTGGAGAGGCATGTCCTCATCTCACAAACAAACCTGTTTCTTATGCACCTATTCGTGTATCGAAAACCACTAAAAACAGCAGGTCGGGGTTGTAACTTTGAACACCCATGCAATCAACTATACACCTGCACAGGGTTCGAACTTGCAACAGTTTAGCAAGGCCCCGTGCCGACTTCCTTGACGGAGTCATGATGGCGCTTGGCACGTTGGACAAGCGGAACTCGTCGGAGCCGTCTGGGCTTCGGTGTGAATCCAATCCAATGCTGGTCCTGGTTTTGCTGTCAAAATACCTGAGAAAACCGTAAAACAATATAAAGGATTGGTTGTTAATGTGGGCAGCCATGGGTGAACCAAAATTCAACAAATTGCCCAAGAGTCAGACAGTGTCATTGCTTGGAAGAACTGAAATATTTTGGCACCAACAGCACCCAAACAAAGTGAAACGACCACACAGTCATTAAAAGTGCGGGGTGCGGCAGCTCAACTTTTTTTGCAACTTTCCTGCTGCATTCACTCATCTGACACACACAAACCCCACAACACACATTGATTCACAAAACACTGTGTAACTTTGAGGGCCTACCTATGGATAAATGTTTTCTTCATGATTTTTCAAGGCGCTGCTGCAAGCATGCAATCGTTTTTTGCAACATGTTCGGCTTCATAAAATCACACACTTTGTCCAGGCCTTCCCAATCCGTGACAAATCTTTCACAATGTGACCGTGAGCCTTTGAGACGAAATTGCACATTTTTTTGCACGCATGGGGCTGCCGTTATCGCAGGAGTGCGAAGGTTTTTTTTGCACGGATCGAGCCGCCATGTGTGCAAAGAATGCACAGGTCAGCTTGTGCTGCTTGTGAATGAGTCTCCGGCCAGGAAGGGGCAAAAACAAGCAAACCAAACAAGCAACGCGAACCAAACCAACCAAACCAACCAAACAAACAAACAAAACCACGAGGCCGATAAGGAGACTCAGGTAGGTCACGCAGAGGTGAAACAAAAATAGAGATCCAGGTCTAGGTGAAACCTAAATGGGGCATTGAATTATTGCAAAAAGCCCCTCAGCACCCGTTGCGAAGGTTCGAATGCAAATATCGGCAAATGTGCGAGCGAGTGCACTTGTGTACTTGTGCACTTGGTTGAGTGGCCTGTATGTCCAGGCCGTGCATTCTATGTCTGCGCAACCAGCTTGCTTGGAGAGGCAGCGGCACTCCGACAGGCAACCAGTTATCAGCTGATTTTGAAAGCAGCGGGCAGGCGTGTAGTAGCTCTATAGGACGGTCGATGGAAAACCACTGCGAAATAGAAAGCCCTAGCGTGACAAACGAAAGGTTGCCAGCAGTGTGACCTTTCATGAATGGTGTGTTGCGCTGTCTATGATTCATAGTTGGCTGTTAGCAAAGGACCGCGAAGGTGCAGTGCATGTACAGGCTTTGCAGCCTCCCTCCACAGGAGGGAGGGAAGCGGCTACCGCGAAGCGAGGCTACGCCGAACTACACCGAAAACTGTTAGGCAGCGCCCTGTTTTGGACCCACACGCTTCGGCGGTAAAGTGATATGAACAGATACTACACTTGAGTAGGTTCACAAAGTCTAACACGCCGCCTAAAAGCTCGACGCTCTAGTCGTGCTTTTCTCAACTCCAGATACCACTTCTGCTAAGTGGCCTCAGGTTAAGTCCACCTGGAGTTTTCTTCATTCACATACTTTGTACAGTATGGACCGTTCCGGCATTGTTCCAATGCTATTTCGACAAAAACTTTCATGAATTCTCAACCGCAAAAATTGCTTCGTTGTGTCCAGAAATGATGTGTGTTGATGTAAGGTTGGTTCAGCTGGTGCAACCTTACACCAAAATCAAAATTCCATCAACTCTGTAGGCTGCTGGTTCAGATGGTTCAATCAGCCTACCAATACATTGAAGTTGTAAACCAAAAAAATCAACCACCAACAATCTTGTCAATCTCGGAGTCAGAGGAAAGATAGTGCAAATTCGTCCACATCTCAGGATCAGATACTTCTTCCATTCCACTATTCAAATATCTTGCTATTCTTGTGTCTTCGCTCTCACTGTCCTCAATCTCGCTTTCTTCTCCAGTTTCATTTCTATCAGGCCTTGAGATTGCCGCCGCCTCACTTGAGACTTCTAGACTCCTGCCGGGAACTCGATCTTGATCAAAATAACCACTCTCTTCTCCCATGCCTTCCAATGAACTTCCTGCTGCTCCCGTTGGTTCAGCTCCTGGTTCTGGAACTTCCGGTACCTCAGGAGCTTGGGGACGTTCTTCATCCACTGAAAGGTCTGTCATTTGCTGACAGAATTGGTGAGCCCTTCTTCTGGCTCTTTCTCCAGGATGTTGCTCAAGATCCATCAAAACTGACCGTAAGATCTCCCTTCTCTTCTCATATTTCTTTCTCTCCTGCTCATCTACCAGCTCTTCGTGAAATCCGTGCTTCAACTCTTCCCAACATCCAATAAGTGAACCATTCAGGCGACCATGGCGCCCATCGCTCTGGCGGGTCAATGGGCATAGGTGGAAACAACGGAGGGCGTGGTTCTATATGGCCTGTCGAGGTCATTGGTCCAACCACGCTGCTTGATCCCGGCTCCACATTCGCATTTGCAACCACTCGTCTCACAGCTTCGGGTTCCGGCTCTTCCTCATCTATTCCACCTCTGGGCCGTTTCCGGCCGCGAGGACCGAATCTTGCCACAACCTGCTCCCAATGTTGATACAACCAATTGCAGCATCCAATAACAATGAGAATTGCAATTGTCATCCAACATTGGTTTGGTTCTGCGTTTCCCAACTCTTCTTCCTTTTCAACACAACCTTTCATGTTGAAAGCATGAGCAAGAAGTGCACAATGAACCAACGCTTTGCTTGTTCGCGACTTCATCCACCTGCTCACCTGTCGAATTTGTTGCTTCCATTGCTGCTCTGCAAAATAATTCAACTGTTCACCTTCTCCAACTTCTTCAACAACTTCGTTCTCGTCATTCAAACGAACCGCCCCAATGAAAGAAAGGAGAAAATGTCTTCTGGCTGCCGTGAGCTTCTTTGTATTCAAATCTGCAATGTTCACCTGAGTTGATATGGGTAGTACTTTCAAGACTTTCTCACGGATAGCCATTTGTAGCCAAAACAATCTCACATCTATATGCTTGAGGCGTCCAAGTCCGCTTCGTTGCAACCACTGTCTTCCACTCGATGAGTCACTCCTGGCCTCCAACAAGATCTCACCACTGATCAAAAATGACCATACCTCCTTCAGCAAACCTCGCTTGCACCAGATGTTAATGCAAGAACTTCGGCCTCACATGAGGATAATGCAACAGCTTTCTGCGTCCTGCTGTACGAAAGGGCCACAAGTCCATTCAGCAACACAATCACTGATGTTGTGGATTTCCTTTGTAAACCACCAGCCCAATCACTGTCGCAAAATACCTCCATCACATGTGTGTTGTCTTCAACTTCATGTTCCGGCCTGTTGTTCAGCTTTCCTGACATCCTTGTACCAACTGGTGTATATGGAAGCCGAAATGACAAATTTGCTGTTCCTTTGAGGTACAAACAAAGTTGGATCAAACATTTCTCAGCCTGTTCCGTGGGTGTTCTCATTGATCCAGCCAATGTTTTCAGACAATGTTGTATGTCCAAACGCTCATGTGACATATACATCGCTGTACCCAAACCAGTCCTGAAATCAGCTTGCCGTTTCTTGTCTAGTTCTGCCGACGTATCTGGGTTCCCAAGCAAGCTATGTTTGGGTACTTGTTCCTCTTTCCGATCTGCAAACCATACAACTTGACGAGAGTCTCGGTGAACTTCGAATTGGGCCTCACATAACTACCATCTTCTTGGAACACATAAGTCTTCTTCAAATAGTTGAGTTCCTCACCGTTTCCAAGCGGCTCCTTTGGCATCGGACCTTCCACCTGCAGCTTGTAAATTTTCTTCAGTGCATCGATCACCCATTCAATGTCTTCGACCGTTTCTCCAACTACCAACTCATCATCAACATGAATATTGATAGCCAACTTCTTTTGTTCGATGCCTCAACACAGATGGCATAGCTGCACATGAATCAAATCCCAACTCCTGCAAATGATGCGCAAAATCTTGGAACCATCTTTGAGCACCATTTCTCTGCCCAGGAAGCACTCTCTTCAATTGCCACAGGGAGTTCTCAGGCAGCTTCAACAATTCTTTCATCCATTGGGAAATCTTCACGTAGCATATCTCTTTCTGCACCACCGTCAAATAGGCGTCAGAAATATCCAAAGCTGCAACTTTCCATCCAAAGAAAAGATGGCAAAATAAAAACAGTCTGACCACAGCATTCTTTCATCCGTAGAAGGGACCTGTTCTGAACTCTCGAGCTACCACTCTACAGCGCCTCTTCCACTTGCCGTCTCTGTACCTCCAATCATACACCTCCTTGAGGTCTATGAACTTGCCCTCTGGATCCATCTCCTGCTCCTCCAGTGTTTGCACAACACCCATCGCCGTGAGCTTCTTGATCTCCACCTTCATAGCTTCTGCATCAAGTTCATCCAGCTCTTCCGGGGACAAGTTTGGAGGTCGTTCACCATAGAAATCGGATTCAAATTCACCCAACTCATCTTCTATCAACTCCCAATCAACATCCTCCTCCCAACAAGCATCACCATGTGGCATGTTGACTTGATTCACGCCGCCTGCATACAACGGGGAATACAATGCTTCGGGACTCGACTGAGGACTTGTCTCACGCTCAAATCTTGCTGCTTTGCCGCCTCTCTCCTCTGCAGGCTCGACGGCTTCTCTTTTCTCAGCTGGTTGACACCTCCAATGGCCTCGTAGGAGTTGTTGGGATAGTTGGTATCCCGAGCAAATTTTTCCTCTAAGTCCCTCGCAAGTCAGCACGCCTGTTGACACCGAAGAAGCTACCACCTACCACCTTACGCTAGTTACCCCAGCAGGAGAAGAAATTCAGCTTCCAATCGAGCTTCGAGACTCGACGAGTTCGAAAATTCGGTTGCCGAGTACTTGCCAACAGTTAGCCAGATCGCCACATTTGGGTGTGAGCTTGACTTTGCTGACCCGAGCACCCAAGCGTGTTGGAGTGCGGTACTAGGTACGGGCGCTTACAGCACCTTTGGCTGTGAGCTGGAGTTCATCAGCATGGACACCCAGAAAATCTTGGTTGACCCTATTTGGAATACCCTGCAAGATTGCAACTGTTTCAATCTCATCG